TAGCTCCACCCTGGGGCCAGCCCCGCCTGCCAGGGAGAGCGCCCCCTGCCGAGCCCCCCGCCTCGCTCCCTGCCCCCTAGCTCCACCCTGGGGCCAGCCCCCGCCTGCCAGGGGAGAGCGCCCCCTGCCGAGCCCCCCGCCTCGCTCCCTGCCCCCTAGCTCCACCCTGGGGCCAGCCCCGCCTGCCAGGGAGAGCGCCCCCTGCCGAGCCCCCCCGCCTCGCTCCCTGCCCCCTAGCTCCACCCTGGGGCCAGCCCCGCCTGCCAGGGAGAGCGCCCCCTGCCGAGCCCCCCCGCCTCGCTCCCTGCCCCCTAGCTCCACCCTGGGGCCAGCCCCGCCTGCCAGGGAGAGCGCCCCCTGCCGAGCCCCCCGCCTCGCTCCCTGCCCCCTAGCTCCACCCTGGGGCCAGCCCCGCCTGCCAGGGGAGAGCGCCCCCTGCCGAGCCCCCCGCCTCGCTCCCTGCCCCCTAGCTCCACCCTGGGGCCAGCCCCGCCTGCCAGGGGAGAGCGCCCCCTGCCGAGCCCCCCGCCTCGCTCCCTGCCCCCTAGCTCCACCCTGGGGCCAGCCCCGCCTGCCAGGGAGAGCGCCCCCCTGCCGAGCCCCCCCGCCTCGCTCCCTGCCCCCTAGCTCCACCCTGGGGCCAGCCCCGCCTGCCAGGGGAGCGCCCCCTGCCGAGCCCCCCCGCCTCGCTCCCTGCCCCCTAGCTCCACCCTGGGGCCAGCCCCGCCTGCCAGGGGAGAGCGCCCCCTGCCGAGCCCCCCCGCCTCGCTCCCTGCCCCCTAGCTCCACCCTGGGGCCAGCCCCGCCTGCCAGGGGAGAGCGCCCCCTGCCGAGCCCCCCGCCTCGCTCCCTGCCCCCTAGCTCCACCCTGGGGCCAGCCCCGCCTGCCAGGGGAGCGCCCCCTGCCGAGCCCCCCCGCCTCGCTCCCTGCCCCCTAGCTCCACCCTGGGGCCAGCCCCCGCCTGCCAGGGGAGCGCCCCCTGCCGAGCCCCCCGCCTCGCTCCCTGCCCCCTAGCTCCACCCTGGGGCCAGCCCCGCCTGCCAGGGGAGAGCGCCCCCTGCCGAGCCCCCCCGCCTCGCTCCCTGCCCCCTAGCTCCACCCTGGGGCCAGCCCCCGCCTGCCAGGGAGAGCGCCCCCTGCCGAGCCCCCCGCCTCGCTCCCTGCCCCCTAGCTCCACCCTGGGGCCAGCCCCCGCCTGCCAGGGGAGAGCGCCCCCTGCCGAGCCCCCCGCCTCGCTCCCTGCCCCCTAGCTCCACCCTGGGGCCAGCCCCGCCTGCCAGGGGAGAGCGCCCCCTGCCGAGCCCCCCGCCTCGCTCCCTGCCCCCTAGCTCCACCCTGGGGCCAGCCCCCGCCTGCCAGGGGAGAGCGCCCCCTGCCGAGCCCCCCGCCTCGCTCCCTGCCCCCTAGCTCCACCCTGGGGCCAGCCCCGCCTGCCAGGGGAGAGCGCCCCCTGCCGAGCCCCCCCGCCTCGCTCCCTGCCCCCTAGCTCCACCCTGGGGCCAGCCCCGCCTGCCAGGGGAGAGCGCCCCCTGCCGAGCCCCCCGCCTCGCTCCCTGCCCCCTAGCTCCACCCTGGGGCCAGCCCCCGCCTGCCAGGGGAGAGCGCCCCCTGCCGAGCCCCCCGCCTCGCTCCCTGCCCCCTAGCTCCACCCTGGGGCCAGCCCCGCCTGCCAGGGGAGAGCGCCCCCTGCCGAGCCCCCCGCCTCGCTCCCTGCCCCCTAGCTCCACCCTGGGGCCAGCCCCGCCTGCCAGGGGAGAGCGCCCCCTGCCGAGCCCCCCGCCTCGCTCCCTGCCCCCTAGCTCCACCCTGGGGCCAGCCCCCGCCTGCCAGGGGAGAGCGCCCCCTGCCGAGCCCCCCGCCTCGCTCCCTGCCCCCTAGCTCCACCCTGGGGCCAGCCCCCGCCTGCCAGGGGAGAGGCGCCCCCTGCCGAGCCCCCCGCCTCGCTCCCTGCCCCCTAGCTCCACCCTGGGGCCAGCCCCGCCTGCCAGGGGAGAGCGCCCCCTGCCGAGCCCCCCGCCTCGCTCCCTGCCCCCTAGCTCCACCCTGGGGCCAGCCCCGCCTGCCAGGGGAGAGCGCCCCCTGCCGAGCCCCCCCGCCTCGCTCCCTGCCCCCTAGCTCCACCCTGGGGCCAGCCCCGCCTGCCAGGGGAGAGCGCCCCCTGCCGAGCCCCCCGCCTCGCTCCCTGCCCCCTAGCTCCACCCTGGGGCCAGCCCCCGCCTGCCAGGGGAGAGCGCCCCCTGCCGAGCCCCCCCGCCTCGCTCCCTGCCCCCTAGCTCCACCCTGGGGCCAGCCCCGCCTGCCAGGGGAGAGCGCCCCCTGCCGAGCCCCCCGCCTCGCTCCCTGCCCCCTAGCTCCACCCCTGGGGCCAGCCCCCGCCTGCCAGGGAGAGCGCCCCCTGCCGAGCCCCCCGCCTCGCTCCCTGCCCCCTAGCTCCACCCTGGGGCCAGCCCCCGCCTGCCAGGGGAGAGCGCCCCCTGCCGAGCCCCCCGCCTCGCTCCCTGCCCCCTAGCTCCACCCTGGGGCCAGCCCCCGCCTGCCAGGGGAGAGCGCCCCCTGCCGAGCCCCCCCGCCTCGCTCCCTGCCCCCTAGCTCCACCCTGGGGCCAGCCCCGCCTGCCAGGGGAGAGCGCCCCCTGCCGAGCCCCCCCGCCTCGCTCCCTGCCCCCTAGCTCCACCCTGGGGCCAGCCCCGCCTGCCAGGGGAGAGCGCCCCCTGCCGAGCCCCCCCGCCTCGCTCCCTGCCCCCTAGCTCCACCCTGGGGCCAGCCCCCGCCTGCCAGGGGAGAGCGCCCCCTGCCGAGCCCCCCGCCTCGCTCCCTGCCCCCTAGCTCCACCCTGGGGCCAGCCCCGCCTGCCAGGGAGAGCGCCCCCTGCCGAGCCCCCCCGCCTCGCTCCCTGCCCCCTAGCTCCACCCTGGGGCCAGCCCCGCCTGCCAGGGGAGAGCGCCCCCTGCCGAGCCCCCCGCCTCGCTCCCTGCCCCCTAGCTCCACCCTGGGGCCAGCCCCGCCTGCCAGGGGAGAGCGCCCCCTGCCGAGCCCCCCGCCTCGCTCCCTGCCCCCTAGCTCCACCCTGGGGCCAGCCCCGCCTGCCAGGGGAGAGCGCCCCCTGCCGAGCCCCCCCGCCTCGCTCCCTGCCCCCTAGCTCCACCCTGGGGCCAGCCCCGCCTGCCAGGGGGAGAGCGCCCCCTGCCGAGCCCCCCGCCTCGCTCCCTGCCCCCTAGCTCCACCCTGGGGCCAGCCCCGCCTGCCAGGGGAGAGCGCCCCCTGCCGAGCCCCCCGCCTCGCTCCCTGCCCCCTAGCTCCACCCTGGGGCCAGCCCCGCCTGCCAGGGGAGAGCGCCCCCTGCCGAGCCCCCCCGCCTCGCTCCCTGCCCCCTAGCTCCACCCTGGGGCCAGCCCCCGCCTGCCAGGGGAGAGCGCCCCCTGCCGAGCCCCCCGCCTCGCTCCCTGCCCCCTAGCTCCACCCTGGGGCCAGCCCCCGCCTGCCAGGGGAGAGCGCCCCCTGCCGAGCCCCCCCGCCTCGCTCCCTGCCCCCTAGCTCCACCCTGGGGCCAGCCCCGCCTGCCAGGGAGAGCGCCCCCTGCCGAGCCCCCCGCCTCGCTCCCTGCCCCCTAGCTCCACCCTGGGGCCAGCCCCCGCCTGCCAGGGGAGAGCGCCCCCTGCCGAGCCCCCCCGCCTCGCTCCCTGCCCCCTAGCTCCACCCTGGGGCCAGCCCCGCCTGCCAGGGGAGAGCGCCCCCTGCCGAGCCCCCCGCCTCGCTCCCTGCCCCCTAGCTCCACCCTGGGGCCAGCCCCGCCTGCCAGGGGAGAGCGCCCCCTGCCGAGCCCCCCGCCTCGCTCCCTGCCCCCTAGCTCCACCCTGGGGCCAGCCCCCGCCTGCCAGGGGAGAGCGCCCCCTGCCGAGCCCCCCGCCTCGCTCCCTGCCCCCTAGCTCCACCCTGGGGCCAGCCCCCGCCTGCCAGGGGAGAGCGCCCCCTGCCGAGCCCCCCGCCTCGCTCCCTGCCCCCTAGCTCCACCCTGGGGCCAGCCCCGCCTGCCAGGGGAGAGCGCCCCCTGCCGAGCCCCCCGCCTCGCTCCCTGCCCCCTAGCTCCACCCTGGGGCCAGCCCCGCCTGCCAGGGGAGAGCGCCCCCTGCCGAGCCCCCCCGCCTCGCTCCCTGCCCCCTAGCTCCACCCTGGGGCCAGCCCCCGCCTGCCAGGGGAGAGCGCCCCCTGCCGAGCCCCCCCGCCTCGCTCCCTGCCCCCTAGCTCCACCCTGGGGCCAGCCCCCGCCTGCCAGGGGAGAGCGCCCCCTGCCGAGCCCCCCGCCTCGCTCCCTGCCCCCTAGCTCCACCCTGGGGCCAGCCCCCGCCTGTCAGGGAGAGCGCCCCCTGCCGAGCCCCCCGCCTCGCTCCCTGCCCCCTAGCTCCACCCTGGGGCCAGCCCCCGCCTGCCAGGGGAGAGCGCCCCCTGCCGAGCCCCCCGCCTCGCTCCCTGCCCCCCTAGCTCCACCCTGGGGCCAGCCCCGCCTGTCAGGGGAGAGCGCCCCCTGCCGAGCCCCCCCGCCTCGCTCCCTGCCCCCTAGCTCCACCCTGGGGCCAGCCCCGCCTGCCAGGGGAGAGCGCCCCCTGCCGAGCCCCCCGCCTCGCTCCCTGCCCCCTAGCTCCACCCTGGGGCCAGCCCCGCCTGTCAGGGGAGAGCGCCCCCTGCCGAGCCCCCCGCCTCGCTCCCTGCCCCCTAGCTCCACCCTGGGGCCAGCCCCGCCTGTCAGGGGAGAGCGCCCCCTGCCGAGCCCCCCGCCTCGCTCCCTGCCCCCTAGCTCCACCCTGGGGCCAGCCCCGCCTGTCAGGGGAGAGCGCCCCCTGCTGAGCCCCCTGCCCCGCCCCCTGCAGCGGAGGGGCTGCGGGTCGGGAGTGAGGGGCACCGGCAGAGCTGGGGGCTGCGGGTTGGGATTCGGGGGCTCAGGGGCTGAGCGCCCCCTCCTGGTGCTGTTGGTCCGACTCCATCTGTGTCTTTCTGTCGCCAGGAGCTGCCGGAGGAGATGCCGGGCGCGCTGGAGCTGGTATGTCTGGGGCGCCGGTTCCCCCCCACACACACACATCCCGCCTGCCCCCCACCACCCGCCCCACACCGGCTCCCTTCCCTCTGGGGTGGTTTTCTCCTTTCTCGGACACTCTCAGTCCTTTTCTCTCCCTTTTGCTTTTTCCTTCAGTCTTTCGGCTCCTTCTCTCTCTTCATTTCTCCCGCTCTTTTCCTTTCATCCTTGAGTTATTCGCTCCTCCTTTCCTTCCCATCTTCCTCTCTCCGTCCTTCCTTCCACTCATCCCTTTGCTCTCTGGTTTTCTCTCCCGTCTTCAGTTCCTCTTTGCCCTCAGCCCGGGTGGCGTTCCTTCTCCTCTCCCTGGACTTTCCTTCCTCCTTCTCCGCTTTCTGCCTTTCTCTCGTTCATCCCTTCAGCCGCTTTCCTCTCCTTCACTCCTTTGTCTGTTCAGTTCACATTCATCCCTTTCTCCCTCCTTCTCTTTCAGGATCCATTCCCTTGCTTTTCTTTTCTTCTTTGTTTTTCTGTTTCTTCCTTCACCCTTTTCATTCTGCTTTTTACGCGTCCTCTCGTCTCTTTTCGTTCTTCTTTCCACCGATTCTGTGGTTTGCTTTCCTCCATCATAGACTTTTTCGTTCTTCCTTTCTCTTCCGTCTTTCTTCTCTCGGTTTTCTCCGTTCCGCCTACATTCCTCCGCTCTTCCTTGCACTCAGTCTTTGTGCGTTCGCTCCTTTTGCTGTTTGCTCCTTTCTCGTTCATTCTTCTGCTTTTCTCCTTCCCTTCTTTCACTCATTCCTCCATTCGTCCCGCATTCAGCCTTTCCCCCCTCTCTTCACTTGGCCTTTTCTTTCCCATTCTCTTCTTCTTCCGTTTCTTCACTTTCTCTTGGTTTTTGTCTTTCTTCCTTCCTCCATCTTTTCTTGCCATTACTTTCTTTCTTTCTTTCTCATTCATCCCCTTTTCTTTCTTTCTTTCTTTCTTTCTTTCTTTCTTTCTTTCTTTCTTTCTTTCTCTGGAGGGGCCCAGGACCCCAGAGGGAGGTGGGGGAGACTGGCTCATCCCCCCCCCCCCGAGGGATCAGGGCCATGAACAGAGATGGGGTAACTTCCTAACCCCTGCTACTCCCCACTCAGAACTGGCTCCCATCCCCCAAGGCGGTGTATTATTTAGGAGGGGTGGGGTCCTGTGGTACAGAGATGGGGAGGTGAAGGGGGGGGCTGTGTGCGTGTGTGTGTCACTTAGACCCCCCCCATTAACCCTTTTCCTCACTGCACTGTCCCCCACCCAGCTGGCGCCCCCTGTTGGCCGCAACTCCCGGGGCTGGTTCCTGCAGCACCTGGACCAAGGGGACGCGCCACGGGAGAGGAGATCGGGTGAGTGAACCCCCAGTCACATCCCCAGCCCAGCACAGGTGGGCTGGGAGCCCGGACTCCTGGGTTCTCTCCCCGGCTCTGGGAGGAGGGTGGGGGTGAGTGGGTCAGAGCAAGGGTGGGTGGATTCTGCGGTTGTCTACGTATGCATCTCCATGTAATGCTGCTCCCTAGCGGCAGCTCACCATATGGCGCCCATGTGTGTCATGAGACCCGTACAGCCAAAGCTGAGTGCGAATCTCCCTGCTTGTATTTGGCAGTGTCCAAGGGGAAGAAGCCTCGGGCCCGGAAACCTGCTGCTGCACACTATAAAGGTGAGAGAGACTTGGGACACATCCGATCAGGTTGGGATGGGGAGGTGGTGGATTTAAAAATAAATACATATTTGGAGGTTGCTTGTTGCTGGTTAAATCATCGTGATTCCAAGCCCCCATCCTGCTCTAACCACCAGCCCCCCCTCCCAGAGCCGGGGAGAGAACCCAGGAGTCCTGGCTCCCAGCCCCCCTGCTCTAACCCACCAGCCCCCACTCCCCTTCCAGAGCTGGGGAAGGAACCCAGGAGTCCCAGCTCCCAGCCCGCCCCGCTCTAACTCACCAGCCCCCACTCCCCTCCCAGAGCCGGGGAGAGAACCCAGGAGTCCTGGCTCCCAGCCCCCCCAGTGTAATAATGGCTCATGTCGGTCTCTGTTTCAGTGGGATTTCCAGAGAACCCAGCTGGGATCTACTCAGGTAATTCCAGGAGGGGCTGTGTGAAGGGGAGTTGGGGACTGGTGGGTTAGAGCAGGGTGGGCTGGGAGCCAGGACTCCTGGGTTCTCTTTTTGGCTCTGGGAGGGGAGTGGGGGGCTGATGGGTCAGAGCAGGGGGGGCTGGGAGCCAGGAGTCCTGGGTTCTCTCCCCAGCTCTGGGAGGGGAGTGGGGGCTGGTGGTTAGAGTGGGGAAGGGTGGGGGTGCTGGGAGCTTTCAGTCTAGCTTGGCTTCCCCCACACTCTCTCTCCCGGCCGCCCTTTTAGGGGTGAGAGGCCTGGTACCCAGACAAACGTTCCCTCCCCACTCTGGGGTGCCCTGCAGCTCCGAGGGGAGCCAGCAGGGGGCAGCCCTGTGCCCTGAGGATAACACATTTGGGGCGGCTTATGATAAACTAGGGGTGTGGGCAGAGAAGGTGGGAGTGGGGTTGGGGCAGCCGAGCAGAGGGGTGGGCCAGGGCAGCTCTCGGTCTTGAGGGTGGCGGGGGGGGAATCGAATGTGTAATACACCTCCCCCCTCCCTTCTATGCCTCCCCCTCCCCCCCACGCCAGGGCCTGACGGGACCATCGGGGGCTGGGAGGAGACGCCGCTCAATGCCACGAGCCCCTTGCGCTACAATTTGGCCAGCGGGGAGTTCGCCGTCCTCCGGAGGGGCCTCTACTACCTGTACTGCCAGGTGAGTGGTGGCCGGACGCCTGGGTTCTCTGGGGGGCGGAGGCTGGGAGCCAGGACTCCTGGGTTCTCTCCCCGGCTCTCGGAGGGGAGTGGAGGCTGGTGGGTTAGAGCAGAGGGGGCTGAGAGCCAGGACTCCTGGGTTCTCTCCCCGGCTCTCGGAGGGGAGTAGGGGCTGGTGGGTTAGAGCCGGGGGCTGGGAGCCAGGACTCCTGGGTTCTCTGCCCAGCTCTGGGAGGGGAGTGGGGGATGGTGGGTTAGAGCAGGGGGGACTGGGAGCCAGGACTCCTGGCTTCTCTCCCCAGCTCTGGGAGGGGAGTGGGGGCTGGTGGGTTACAGCAGGGGGGGCTGGGAGCCAGGACTCCTGGGTTCTCTGCCCAGCTCTGGGAGGGGGGTGGGGGCTGGTGGGTTAGAGCAGGGGGGGCTGGGAGCCAGGACTCCTGGGTTCTCTGCCCAGCTCTGGGAGGGGGGGTGGGGGCTGGTGGGTTAGAGCAGGGGGGCTGGGAGCCAGGACTCCTGGGTTCTCTCCCCAGCTCTGGGAGGGGAGTGGGGTCTGGGGCCCGAACTCCTGGGTTCTACTGCCCCCCCTCTGCAGGTGCATTTCAACGAGGGCCGGACGGTGTACATGAAGCTGGACGTGGTGGTGGACGGGGTGCTGGCCCTGCGGTGCCTGGAGCAGTTCCCCCCGACCAGCGCCGGCCCCCAGGACCCCGAACTGCGCGTCTGCCAGGTCTCCGGGCTCCTGCTCCTCCAGCCGCCCTCCGCCCTGCGCATCCGCACCATCCCCGGCGTGAGGCTCAAGGCCGAGCACTACCTCACCTTCTTCGGGCTCTTCCAGGTGCACTGAGCCCGGGGGCGGTGGGGCAGGACTCCTGGGTTCCCCAGGAGAGAAGTGGTGTTGAGTGGCCAGAGCAGAGGGGGCTGGGAGCCAGGACTCCTGGGTTCTATCCCCGGCTCCAGAAGGGGAGTGCGGGCTGGTGGGATAGAGCGGCGGGGGGGCTGGGAGCCAGGACTCCTGGGTTCTCTCCCCAGCTCTGGGAAGGAAGCAGGGTCCCGTGTTCTTGATCACACCAGTGGGTCCAGTTTGGCTCCCGGTTGCTTCGTATCGGATCCCAGTGGACCGCGCCCTCCTGCCCACCCCGTCCCCTCAGCTTCTCCTAGACCCCGGCGTCTTGCGGGGGGGGCAGTGCACACACCCCACGCAGCGTTGTGTGGGCGGGGTTCTGATCCATGCCACTCCTCGCTTCTGGATGATGGCCAGTGCCTCCCCCTGAACCCTGGCGAGATCCCTGCCCATCCAGCCGGAGACCCCCCCCAAATTCCTTTACTGCAGCTCCACTGTGGGGGTGGGGGTGTCATTAAAGTCTGGGTAGCCCCCCACAAGGTGAGGAGCCAGGACTCCTGGGTTCTGTCTCTGGCTCTGAGAGGGGAGTGGGGGCTGGTGGTTAGAGCAGCAGGGGCTGGGAGCCAGGACTCCTGGGTTCTCTCCCCGCCTCTGGGAGGGGAGTGGGGGCTGGTGGGTCAGAGCAGCAGGGGCAGGGAGCCAGGACTCCTGGGTTCTCTCCCAGGCTCTTCCTGTCCGCAACGCTCACGGCGGGGATAAAACACCCACTCCAGCCAAAGCCCTTCCCCCCCCCCGCAGCAGGGGAAAGTGGCACGGGGGGGGGGGTGCAGTGACCCTTGCAGCCACCAGGGGGTGCACGGACATATCCTCCCCCTGGCTGGGGGCGCAGGGCCCCTGGCTGCCACCAGGGGGCGCACAGATGCCCTCGGCTGGCCGGCCTGCCCGCCCGCCTCGCCCACCGCCCGACTGCCCGGGCGGCCAATAGCACACCAGGACCACTGCTGCCTGACAGGCTGTGCTGTGGGTGGGCGGGGCCTTGCGGCGGGCCAATGAACTCATCCCAGTGGCGGTGACGCCCGCCCATGGAGGGGACACACCCACACACACCCCGGTGGGGGGGCGGGGGGGAGGTTGGGACACAGAGTATTTTATAGCAGAAATGGTTATTAAAAAGATAATTAAAATACCGTGGCCTCATCTGTGGTGAATCACTGGACCTGGGTTTTCTGGGAGGGAAGCAGGGGCTAGTGCTTAGAGCAGGGCGGTTGGCCTGGGAGCCAGGACTCCTGGGTTCTCTCCCCAGGTCTATATCAGGGCAGGGGTGTTTCGTGTAGAAGAAATGGATGATCTGACTCAGGTTTGTTCTTCGGTACCAACCCATTTATTTTACCACGAATGGCCAACACTGGCCCACTTCCCTGGCCATGGCGGAGACCGACGGCCACAGCTGGCTTCCTGGCTCAGAAATCCCCAGGCCCGCTTCTCTGGCTGGTCCTATGCCCCAAGGAGCTCTGCCTCTTGACTTCCTCTCCGGCTGACTCTCCCCGCCTGCCTCCCTTGCTTTCTGTCTCTCACACGCGCGCAGACAGCGACGACCTGTCATCCCTCAGCCCATGCCCTTAGCCATCACTCCCAGGGAAACCCCTCCGTCCGCAGGGCTTAGCACCTTGGGCGGTGGCTTTCCGCAGTTTCAGCTCTCGCTGCACTCGCGGTGCACTTAGTTGCTCCTTCTTTTGAGCTGGATCAGTTAGTGCAGCCGGGGCCATCGGTCGAGCAAAACAGCTGTAAACAGCCATGAACCGGTTTGTCACAGGGTGTGAGAAGGGAGGCCGAGCCCCGGGCAGCTAGACTCATTACCAGCTGCCCAAACGGGCGGCTTATAAAGGCGGAGACGGGTGCCAGCAGACAGTGCCCAGAGGAAGCTAGGATCCACGGGAAGAGGCCACTGGGCCCAGAGAACCAGGTATGAGTTTTCTTTCAAAAGGCTTTGTGCAGAGCTTAATAGACCAGAAGGAGAGGGAAAGGGGGCTTTGTTTTGGGAAAACTGAGGCAGGCCTCAATAGCATCCCACTGAGCCAGCAGCAGGTGCTATGGGTCAGGTGCCCCAGTGAACGCTGCTCATACATTGGCTCACATGATATCGTGAGGCGAAAGGGGGGGTTACACCTTTTATCCGTCTACCTCCACCCCCCAACCTTGAGCCGGCCAGCCCCCCTCAAGGACCCCTCCATCCATCCGCCCAGGGACATACACCTCCGAGCTCCCCAGGCCTCAGCTCCGCACCCCCTCTCTGTCCTGACCCGCAGGCTCCCCGCCCGCCCAGCCCCACCAGGGCCCCTCGATCCTGACCTGTGGGGTGAAGGCCACTAAGCCCCGGATCGATGGCTTTCCCAGAGCTGGCACCCGCGTGGGTGGCTGGGTCAGGTCTGCGGTAGCTTATCTTGTGTTCTCACTCACCAGAACAAACTGATTATCACACACTTCCATTCCTGAGAAAGCCCGAACGTGGGTAATCACAACCACCACCCCGCCCCAGAGGTGGCCGCATCTCAGCGCCAGGCGAGGGGTCCCTGTGTACCCAAGCTGGCGAGTGCTTTAGGCTCGAAAGGCCCAGGGGAATATTGGTTGGGAGGGGGCTGCAGACAGATGCGGGGTAGGCAGTAGCCCAGTGCGGGCACAGCATGCAGGGGCTGGGAGCCAGGACTCCTGGGTTCTGTCTCTGGGAGGGGAGTGGGGGCTGGTGGTTAGAGCAGGGTGGCTGGGAGCCAGGACTTCTGGGTTCTCGCCCCGGATCTGGGAAGGGAGTGGGGACTGGTGGTTAAAGCAGGGTGGCTGGGAGCCAGGACTCCTCGGTTCTCTCCCCGGATCTGGGAGGGGAGTGGGGGCTGGTGGTTAGAGCAGGGTGGCTGGGAGCCAGGACTCCTGGGTTCTAGTCCCCGGATCTGGGAGGGAGTGGGGGGGTGGTTAGAGCAGGGTGGCTGGGAGCCAGGACTTGGGTTTAGTGGCTTCGGGGGGGGGGGGTTTCCCAGCTGTTGCCAACACCCTGGGACCTCAGCGCATTCATCCTTCCTATGCAAATATGAATAATTTTTTTGGGGGGGGCATAGAAATCAGGGGGCGACTTTGAGTTTTGGAAGCCTGTGGCAAGAGGGGGGCCTGGACATTTGGGGATGGATTTGGGGGGGGTCCCTGGAAAATTCGGGGTGAGCTCAGAGGGGGCAGAGACTTGGGGGTGACCTCCACAGAGGGGTAAAGGTTGCGGGGAGAGATTTCAGGGGGCAGAGACTTGTGGGTGACCTCCCCACGGGAGGAAGGTTTTGGGGGCAGAGATTTGGGGGCAACTCAATTGAGGGATTTTAGGGGGGATTTCACAGGGTGGGGTAAAGATTCGGGGGGGGACCTCAGGGGAACCCACAGGGATCTGAAGTGGGGGCATCCCCCCACACATTCGCCGTTGGGGGTCTAACGGTCCCTGCCAGCTGGCAGACGGATACAGCTGGCAAGGCCCCGGGCACCCGTCGGTTTCCTGCCCCACGCCCTCTTCCCCACGTCCCCTTACGCAAGAACCAGACGCCAGCACCCGCCACTAGCTGGCCACAGCCCGGGGCTCACCGGCTGCTCACCGGCCACCCCCTGGAACCTGCAAAGCACCCCCAGATCCCAGCTGCACCCCCCTTGGCCATCCCAGGCCTTGCTGACCCTGCCAGGGAGGGGCAGGTTTGGGGCAGGACTCCGGAGAGGTTGTGGGGTGGGTGGGCAGGGGGATTTGGGGGGGGGGGGTGGCTTTGAGAACGGGCAGGGGGAGATTTTGGAGGTGTCCAGGCAGGAATTTTGGGGAGCAGCTAGCAAGGGGGAGGGGGGCTCTGGGAATGGGAGTTTGGGGGTTTTCGAGGAGGGATTTGAACAGGATTTGGGGGAGCAGCTAGGGAGGGGGAAGGGGGCTCTGGGAGTGCAATTTTTGGGGGTGTAGAGGAGTGATTTGTGGATGTGGCTAGGGAGGGGGTGAGGGGCTGTGGAAGGGGGATTTGGGGCCATCTGGGCAAGGATTTGGGGGAGCAGCTAGCAAGGGGGGGGCTCTGGGAGTGGGCTTGGGGGGATCAGGTGAGGGGGCAAAGTGCGGGGGAGGTGACTCTCCCCAGCCCTCATGGCCGGGGCGCCGGGGCACCAGCCACTGGGGGCGCTGTGGTTAGGGGGGGGCGCAGCCCTGGGGGTGCTAGCCTGTCTTACAGCCCTCATAGCCCAGCAGGCCCACCTGGGAGCCCTGCGCCGGGAACTGGTCCAGCTCCGGGGGGAGCTGGTGGCCGCCAGGACGGGAGAGACCAGGCCCCCTGGAGAGACGCAGGTGAGACCCCTCAACACTGATCCAAATGAGAGGGCAGTGAGGGTTAGTGGTTAGAGCAGGGGGGGCTGGGAGCCAGGACTCCTGGGTTCTCTCCCTGGCTCTGGGAGGGGAGTGGGGGCTGCGAGAGGGGGGGCTGGGAGCCAGGACTCCTGGGTTCTCTTCCCGATTTTGGGAGGGCAGTGGGGGCTGCGAGAGGGGGGGCTGGGAGCCAGGACTCCTGGGTTCTCTCCCCGGCTCTGGGAGGGGAGGTGGGGGGTGAAACTTACCCGGGCTCTGCTCTGCTCTCCCTTCCCCTCCATGGGGCAGCAGCCGGGGAGGACCCCCTGAAGGGTTAAAGATTAAGCGGCCCCCCCCATCGGCGCGGCGGGGGGTAGGAGCGGGGCTGGGGGGAGCCGCAAACACAAACCCGGCACCGACCTTTAGCGCTCGGCGGGGAGGCGGAAACAACCCGCCTCCCTGGGAAAGCCCCGCATGGCGGAAAGGAATGTAGAGAATCCCCCCCCCCCCAACTCACCAGCCCCCACTCCCCTCCCAGGGCCCCCGAGAGAACCCAGGCGTCCTGGCTCCCAGCCCCCCTGGTTCTAACCCACCAGCCCCCACTCCCCTCCCAGAGCCGGGAGAGAACCCAGGCGTCCTGGCTCCCAGCCCCCCCTGCTCTAACCCACCAGCCCCCACTCCCCTCCCAGGGCCCCCGAGTGAACCCAGGCGTCCTGGCTCCCAGCCCCCCCTGCTCTAACCCACCAGCCCCCGCTCCCCTCCCAGGGCCCCCGAGAGAACCCAGGAGTCCTGGCTCCCAGCCCCCCTGGTTCTAACCCACCAGCCCCCGCTCCCCTCCCAGGGCCCCCGAGAGAACCCAGGAGTCCGGGCTCCGGGCCCCACTCCCGGTAGGTTCTGTAACTCTGCAGGCAAGTCTGGATGATCTTTGAATGAACTTCACTTCCTGGGCGCCATGCAGCAACCCAATTAATCCTGCCTCCGGGAGGGGAGTGGGGGCTGGTTGTTAGAGCCAGGGGGGCTGGGAGCCAGGACTCCTGGGTTCTCTCCCCGCTCCGGGAGGGGAGTAGGGGCTGGTGGGTTAGAGCAGGGGGGGCTGGGAGCCAGGACTCCTGGGTTCTCTCCCCGCTCCGGGAGGGGAGTGGGGTCTAGTGGTTAGAGCAGGGGGGTGCTGTGAGTCCGGACGCCTGGGTTCTCTCCCGGCTCTGGGAGGGGAGTGGGGGCTGGTTGTTAGAGCTGGGGGGGCTGGGAGCCAGGACTCCTGGGTTCTCTCCCGGCTCTAGGAGGGGAGTGGGGTTTGGTGCCAAGGGATTTTTTGCAGGGTTAACCCTCTCCTGTCTGCTCCCGGTTCAGGCGCCCGGGGAGCTGGAGTCCCCTCAGGCTGCGGGGGTCCAAGCCCCCCCAGTTTGGCGAAGGGGGAAAAGAGGGTCCGAGTGGAGCTCCAGGGAACGGGACCAGCGACAGCAACACAGTGAGTGGCTGGGGATGAAGCGAGAGTGACAAGTGGCTGCAGCTGTTAATGGGTGTCCCCCCGGGCGGGGGGGGGGGAGGAATGGGGCCTGTCCCCTCTCTGTGTGTGTGCGTGTGGTGTGGGTGGGTGTGCGCACGCGTGCGATGTGGGGAACGGGACATTGAGAAGTGAAAGTAGAAAGTGACAAACTCAGCAGGGGAAAGGCCAGATGCGAATCTCAGCTCCCTCCCTGGGTCAATCCAGAGTCACTCCTGCTTACAAGGCAGTCAGGCCTAGATTCTGTTCCCAATTTTTGCCCCCAGGTCAGGTTCTGGTAAGAGCTGTTGCCCCCGCGCCCCTCCTCCGCAGTGGATAACCAAATTGAGCTGGTGTCAGCGGTGGGATCGATCGCTGATTATCTCGATTAACCCACATGTATTTTGCCATGTGGCGTGAGATGCTCTGGGGTTGGCACCTTGGGTAGAGACTTCAGGCTCTGACCCATGGTGCAGGCAGCAGATCTGGGGCGATCAGACACGCCCTTAGGGTCACACCGCTTGGTGTGAGCAGTGGGATCCCAATGCCACTTGGTAGGGCTGTTTAAGTTCCCAGTGGATCCGGGCTCCAGCAGCCGTGGGGCAAAGGGGCGCAGGGGTGAGAGGAGGGGAGCTGGCAAGTCACCTTCTCTGTCTCTCCACCTCACTCCTAGGGAAACGCTCGGTTCTCCACCTGGCCCCGAGCCATCGCTCCACCAACAGTGAGTTGTCCCCCCCACCCCACCCCACCATCCCCCTTCCCTGGGTGACCCATGCTGACCATCAGGACTCCTGGGTTCTCTCCCTGGCTCTGGGAAGCGAGTGGGGGCTGGTGAGTCAGAGCAGGGGGACTGGGAGCCAGGACTCCTGGGTTCTCTCCCCGGCTCTGGGAGGGCAGTGGGGGCTGGTGGGTCAGAGCGGGGGGCTGGGAGCCAGGACTCCTGGGTTCTCTCCCCGGCTCTGGGAAGCGAGTGGGGGCTGGTGGGTCAGAGCAGGGGGACTGGGAGCCAGGACTCCTGGGTTCTCTCCCCGGCTCTGGGAGGGCAGTGGGGGCTGGTGGGTCAGAGCGGGGGGGGCTGGGAGCCAGGACTCCTGGGTTCTCTCCCTGGCTCTGGGAAGCGAGTGGGGGCTGGTGAGTCAGAGCAGGGGGACTGGGAGCCAGGACTCCTGGGTTCTCTCCCCGGCTCTGGGAGGGCAGTGGGGGCTGGTGGTTAGAGCGGGGGGGCTGGGAGCGCTAACAGCCCCCCATCTCCCCCACAGACGAGGGGGACATGACTGAGATCTGGTGGCAGCCTTTCCTGCAGCAGGGCCGGGCGCTGGATGTGACTGGCCCAGACGTCACCGTGAAGCAGACGGGATTGTACCTCGTCTACAGCCAGGTAAGGGCCAGTCCCCGTCCTGGGGCGGGGGGGGGAGCCGGCACCCCCTAGAGGGGACAGGCCCCTGCCCCATTCCCCGCCCCCCCTGAGCTAGGCAGGCCCCTGCCTGGGGCTGGGGGGAGCCGGCGCCCCCTAGGCCTGCCCCATTCCCTGCAACACCTGGCCCAATCCTCACCCCCTCTTCCCTGCTGCCCCCCAGGTGCTGTTCCACGACCCCACGTTCACCATGGGGCAGGTGCTGTGGCGGGCGTCGGCCGGGGGGCCGGGGCAGATCCTCCTGCGGTGTGTTCAGAGCATGCCCCGCGAGCCGGAGCAGGCCTATAACAGCTGCTACAGCGGAGGTGAGGGGGGGGGGGATCCAGGAATTGGGGGGGGATGGGGATATTGCAGCTAGTGGGGGTGCAGGGGGGGAGACCACCCAGGGAGGAGGGATTTGCAGCCCCTGGGGGGGCAGTTAGAGGGAATGGGGGGGCTGTCCGGCAGAAGGAGGGGGATGGGCTCGCCGGGGCTCCCCCCAAGGATGATGCCCCCCCCCCCAGGTGTTTTCCAGCTGCAGCGCGGGGACCAGCTGAGTCTCCGTGTGCCCCGGGCCAACGCGTCCCTCGACCTCAGCCCGCACGGGACCTTCCTGGGCCTGGTCCGCCTCTAGCAGGGCCAGCCACCCCCACTCCCCCAGGCGAGGACGGAACCCAGGCGTCCGGGGAGCTGCAGAGGGACCAGCCCAGAAGGGCCCCAGGTGTCCGGGGAGCTGTAGAGGGACCAGGCCGGAAGGGACCCAGGCGTCCGGGGAGCTGCAGCGGGACCAGGCCGGAAGGGACCCAGGCATCCGGGGAGCAGCAGAGGGACCAGGCCGGAAGGGATCCAGGCATCTGGCCAGACGGGACCCAGGCATCCGGGGAGCTGCACAGGGACCAGGCCGGAAGGGACCCAGGCATCTGGGGAGGTGCAGAGGAGGGACCAAGCCGGAAGGGACCCAGGCGTCCGGGAAGTCTGGAGCAATCCCAGGGCTGTGATTTTGGGGTACATCCTGGAAGGGTCTCACCACTGGGGAGGGTGCAGGACTCTGCCCCAGCCACAAGGGGGCACCCCCCGAGGACAGCCTGAAACAAACCAACCCCCCCCCCCGAAAAAACCGAAGGAAATTCCAGCCAAAAACTTTGTGAAGGGTCGTGAATGGGACCCTCTGAACAAACATGCTCAGGAGCACGGTGGCTGGGAGCCCGGACGCCTGGGTTCTCTCTTCAGCTCTGAGTGGGATCTAGTGGCTTGGAGCAGGGGCGGGGGAGGAGTGGGGCTCGGAGCCAGGACTCCTGGGTTCTTGTTTGGCTTTGTAAGAAGTCCGAGGCTAGGCAGATGCCACACGGACACAGAGCAAAGGGCCCCAGCCCAAACGACTCTGCCGGTCTGGAAGGAAGGGACCCAGGCGTCCAGGGAGTTGCCGAGGAACGCAGCTGGCCTGGGAGAAAGGGACCCAGGAGTCCAGGAAGCTCAGAGGGCCTCAGCCAGCATGGAAGGAAGGGACCCAAGCATCCAAGGAGCCGCAGAGGGCCTCGGCCGGGCTGGGAGAAAGGGACCCTGGCATCCGGGGAGCCGCAGTGGGGCGTTAGAGGACACCCCGTTTGTTACAGTCCCGGGTCGAAGCAGGGGGGTGGCGGGGGGCTGGGTTCTCCCGGGTGCTCTGCTGTGGGTTTCTTACCTGCTAATAAAGTATTCCACATGCCAAAGTATTCCCGGACCCCCCTCTTCTCGGGAGCCCAGCAACGTGTGGGGGGGTGAGCCATGCAGGGAACCCCCTGGGTGCACAGGGCTCCCCCCACACCAACAGGTCCCTCATAGATACCGTCTGGCTTTGTCCTGCCATAGACCGGGCTGGGCCCCCCCCGGCCCCTGTGTCCCATTCCTGCCCCCCCCGGCCAGGATCCCCACCCGCTGGGCCTCCTCACCCCCCAGCTCCCCCCTTCAGCCTCCACTCCCCGCTGGGCCCCTTCCCCCCCAGCTCCCCCCTCACCCCCCCACCAGCCTCCCCTCCAACCCCCAGAACCCACCTCACAAGACTCCCCCGGCCCCCCCCCCACCCCCCCGACTCCTGCCAGGCCCCCCGGACAGGTCCCCATCATCCCTGGGGGGGGGGTTGATGCACCCAGAGGTTCCAACCCCCCCCCATGGCTTCCCGGGGCTGTCACCGGGGGTGGCGGGGGGGGAGGCCCGGGGCCGCGGGGGGCGAGCAGGTCACAGAATCCTAGAGGATCAGGGTTGGAAGGGACCTCAGGAGGTGTCTAGTCCAACCCCCTGCTCAAAGCAGGACCGATCCCCAATTTTTGCCCCAGATCCCTAAATGGCCGACTCCAGGATTGAACTCGCAACCCTGGGTTTAGCAGGCCAATGCTCAAACCACTGAGCTATCCCTCCCGCCCAACATCTCGCGAGATGTGCGGAGGAGAGCGGCCAGGGGCTGAGAACTCGCGGGATGTGCGGAGGAGAGCGGCCAGGGGCTGAGATCTCGCGAGATGTGCGGAGGAGAGCGGCCAGGGGCTGAGATGTCGCGAGATGTGCGGAGGAGAGCGGCTAGGGCCTGATATCTCGCGGGATGTGCGGAGGAGAGCGGCCAGGGGCTGAGATCTCGCGAGATGTGGGGGAAGCTGGGGTGGGCGGGGGCGAAGTGAGAGTGAGAGTTTCTGATCTCGCGGAGTTTCCAGCCACGTCTCGCGAGATCTCACCGAGCGGGTGGGGCCCGGTGCTATCATGGCCGCCTCCAGCCCTTGAGCGGCTTGTGCTGTCGGAGCGATAACCCGGGAGGTAACGGCGCCCGTCCATACAACACGCCCCCCCCCCCCGGCAGAGAGTAGGCCCGTCCATCTATTCCCCCCCCGGCAGAGAGTGGGCCCGTCCATCTAACACCCCCCCCGGCAGAGAGTGGGCCCGTCCATCTATTCCCCCCCGGGAGAGAATGGGCTCGTCCATCCCCCTTCTCCAGGGGAGAGAGTGGACCCGTCCATATAACACCCCCCCCGGGAGAGAGTGGGCCCGTCCATATAACACCCCCCCCCCGGGAGAGAATAGGTCCGTCCATATAACACCCCCCCCCGGCAGAGAGTGGGCCCGTCCATATAACACCCCCCCCCGGCAGAGAGTGGGCCCGTCCATATAACACCCCCCCCGGCAGAGAGTGGGCCCGTCCATATAACACCCCCCCGGGAGAGAATGGGCTCGTCCATCCCCCTTCTCCAGGGGAGAGAGTGGGCCCGTCCATCCACACCCCGGCACCCTTCTCCTCTCCACCTACCCTGGGTAAGAGCCCGGATTGCAGCTGGGAAGAGAGGACACGTGGTCTGGGGGGGCGGGTCTTGGAGCCAGGACTCCTGGGTTCTCTTTCCCGCTCTGGGAGGGGAGCAGGGGCTGGTGGGTTAGAGCAGGGGGGGCTGGGAGGCAGGACTCCTGGGTTCTCTCCCTGACTCTGGGAGGGGAGCGGGGGCTGGTGGGTTAGAGCAGGGGGGCTGGGAGGCAGGACTCCTGGGTTCTCTTTCCCGCTCTGGGAGGGGAGCAGGGGCTGGTGGGTTAGAGCAGGGGGGGCTGGGAGCCGGGACTCCTGGGTTCTCTCCCTGACTCTGGGAGGGGAGCAGGGGCTGGTGGGTTAGAGCAGGGGGGGCTGGGAGGCAGGACTCCTGGGTTCTCTCTTGCCATTAACCCTTTGTCTCCTGCCTTGGCAGGCGCCCGCGCTCTGGGGATGCCCGACTCACCGGGGCTCGTCGGCCGCTGCAGCACCCGCAGGAGCAGAGACGGCCCCCCCCGCGCTCCCCGCCGCCCGCCCAGCTGAGCCCCCGGGCGATGGAGCCAGGGACGCTGGCTGACGGTACCTGGGCGGACGATCCAGCCGGGGGAGACCCCGGGTCCGGGGAGCCCCCCGCCAAGCTGGCCCGGCAGAACGGCTCCCCTGGGGGCCAGGCGCCGGGGGCGGGATCCAGGCCGGAGGACCCCGGCGGGGAGCCGGCTGGGGGACAGGGGCTGGCGGAAGCAGGGAGCGAAGTGGCGGAGGACGGAGGACAGGAACCGGAGTGGGAAGAGGAGTACTAGTAAGGGACGGGTTGACGAGCTCGGGTCCCCCCTTGTGCCGGGCGTTGGCTCGGGCCCCACACACGGAGCCTCTGATCTCCGGGGCGCGGGGAGCACCCGGTTCTGATCGCTGGCACCAAGCAGGGGCTGGGTCGGGGTGTCTCGATCCACCGGGGTGGTTAGAGGCTGGGGCCTAATGGTTAGAATGGGGCGGGGAGCAGGACTCCTGGGTTCCGGGAGGGAAGTGGGGGCTGGTGGATCAGAGTTGGGGGGCTGGGAGCCAGGACTCCTGGGTTCTCTCCCCAGCTCTGGGAGGGGAGTGGGGTCCGGTGGTTAGAGCCAGGGGGGCTGGGTGACCTCTGTACCAATGTCTCCCCCTCCTCTCTTCCTCCCCCAGCCTGCCGGGCTACGAGTTCCTGGGGCCCCCCAAATTGCTGACGGGGGCCTGGGGCGAATACAGCAGCATGCTGGAGAACTTCCTCAAGGGCTGCAAGTGGTAGGATGCTGGGCCGGGCCCTGGTGTCAGGGGCTGGGGCGGGCGGGGTGGATATTTGGGGTCACATCTCGGGGCTCTGACCAGGGATCCGCTGCCCCCGCCCCCCCCGGGGAGCTGAGTGTCGCACAGCCCCCTTGAGGAAATTGGGGACCCCCTGGTGGTGCACAGAGCCCCAGGAGCAGGTCCCAGACACACCAGACCTGGGGACTCCTTGAGAGTGGGGGCTGCTGGGATTGAGGGGACCCCAAATTGGGATGGGGGGGGTCCCTGTAATGGGATGGGTGCTCAGGGCAGTTGTTTCCCCATAGGGCCTTTAGCCTAAATACACATGGATGGGAGGGGAAACTGAGACTCTGGGAGGGCAGTGGAGTCTAGTGGTTAAAGGGAGGGTGGGGTGGGCTGGGAGCAGGACACCTGGGTTCTCTCCGCCGTTCTGGGCAGGGATGGGGGCGCCCTGATGGCCTGGCTGTGCCCCCCTCTCCGCAGGGCCCCTGACGGATCCTGTCTCCTGACCAACAGCGCCGACAACACCTTGCGCATTTACAACCTGCCCCCCGAGCTCTACGGCCAGGAGTGGGGGGCCGTGGCCGAGATGGTAGGGGGGAGGGGTGGGCGGGGAGGGGGAGGGGCTCTTAAAGGGACAGTCTCACACACACACACCCCCGTGTGGTGTGGAACTGTGCTGGTGCAAATGGGTGGGTGGGGGGCTGGTTTTCCCCAATAGCCCCCACTCGCCTCCCAGAGCCAGGGAGAGAACCCAGGAGTTCTGGCTTCCAGTCCCCCCTGCCCTGGCTCCCAGCCCGCCCTGCTCTAACCACCAGCCCCCACTCCCCTTCCGGAGCTGGGGAGAGAACCCAGGAGTCCTGGCTCCCAGCCCCCCCCTGCTCTAACCACTAGGCCCCACTCCCCTCCCGGAGCCGGGGAGAGAACCCAGGAGTCCTGGCTCCCAGCCCCCCCTGCTCTAACCACTAGGCCCCACTCCCCTCCCGGAGCCGGGGAGAGAACCCAGGAGTCCTGCCCCCGCCCTGTGGCTCCGGGGGGCGGCGGCCTGACTGTCCGTGGGTCTGTCTCCCCACAGAGCCCCGTGCTGCGAATGGCCGAGGGAGACACCGTCTACGACTACTGCTGGTTCCCGCTGATGAGCTCCGCGGACCCGCCCACCTGCTTGTAAATGCTGCGGCCACGAGGGCGCCCCCTGCTGCCCCACGGGGAAGGGGGTGGAGCCCTTTCCCATCCGGCCCAGGGACTGGCTGGCTCAGAGGGGCGGGGAATGGGGCAGGGGCCTGTCCCCTCTAGGGTTGCTTGTTCCCCCCCCCCCATCATACACTCCCCAGTTGTTCTCCTCTGACCCCCCCCCTCACGTTTCTGCCTCTCTTGTGGTCCCGCAGCTTTGCCAGCAGCAGCCGTGACAACCCCGTCCACGTGTGGGACGCTTTTCACGGGGACCTGCGGGCCACGTTCCGCAGCTATAACCACCTGGTGGGTACAGAGCCTGGCGCCCAGCCCCCCTGCGCCCACCCCTGGGCAGAGAACCCAGGAGTCCGGGCTCCCAGACCCCCCTGCTCTAACCCCACCGGCCCCCACTTCCCTCCCAGAGCTGGGCAGAGAACCCAGGAGTCCGGGCTCCCAGTCCCCCCTGCTTTAACCCCAGCAGACCCCACTCCCCTCCCAGAGCCAGCAAGAGAACCCAGGAGTCCTGGTTCCCAGCCCCACCCTGCTCTAACCCACCAGGCCCCATTCCCCTCCCAGAGCTGGGAGGGAACCCAGGCGTCCTGGCTCCCAGCCCCCACTGCTCTAACCCACCAGATCCCACTCCCCACCCAGAGTCGGGAAGAGAACCCAGGAGTCCTGACGCTCCTCTCTGTGTGTCTGTCCCCAGGATGAGCTGACGGCCGCTCACTCCCTTTGCTTCACCCCCGACGGCTCCCAGCTGTTCTGCGGGTTCGATAAGACCGTGCGGGTGTTCGACACGGAGCGCCCGGGCCGGGTGTGCGAGAGCCGTCCCACGTTTGGTGAGAGCGCCCCCTGGCACCACCGTGGCGGATGGCACCACGACGCTGGTTTTGTAAAATGCCATTAGGTTTCAGAGTTAACACTTCCACAGCAGGGAAAGGAGGGGCCCGTGGGGATCAGGGAAGGCAGATTCGGGGTGATGCTTGGGCTTCTGGAGAAAAATAGGGA